CGACGCCCTCGCATTGGTCAGGGGTTGCCTTGAGGCTGACGTTGAAAAGCGTTGGAACGTCCATGATATCCTAGAGTGCGCATTGTTGCGCGACTGCGAGCAACGCTTCGAGCACGTGGCTCGCCCTTGGGTTGCGGAGTCATGAGCTGATGATTTTTCTTGTACGAGTTACGTTTGGTGTTGGACAGGCCTTGGATACCCGGTTTGCATTGCGTTTTTTCTTGCTCATATTTGGTGTTCGCTTCTCATCCGGCATTCTGCGATTCAGTCATTTCCGTTGGCTTTTGGATACCCTGCACTATTATTCCACTCATGATCCTGGTCTTCCCGGCGTTTTCTTATCAATGGTTGGGTCAAAAGATGGATGGCCTCATGATGCATTGTACTTTACTTGGCTCCCAGATGAGCGTGGTTTTCACCACAGACTCCATTGTTTGTGATGCCCGCAGGCGACCATCAGCGGCTCATACGACATACTTTTATGAGCTTTCTGCAATGTATTGTCACTACTTACAAGCCTTGTCTGTCTCATGATCGTTGTGCTCACATGGTACTTGACAGCTAACGTACACAACGTGGCAACGTTGTCTAAAAGACCTACAGTCGTGGTCTTCGTGCTACCGCGTTGGACCGGTGGTAACCCTAGATACAGAACCTGCAAGCATGTCGATGGCACTTTCCGGATCCGCGCACGCCTTCCCCGCAGTACGACACCCACACGTTCCATCGCATCCACACATTTTGCTCCAAGCACGGACGGCGTTGCGCTATCGTGGTTGGCTCTTCTCGGGTATCTCACACCCACATATGTTTTTGCGCTGCGAGTGCTTTAGCTCCTTCCCTATCCAAACGGTTACAACGCTAGCAGTGCGCTCGTGTACTGTAAGTACCACTCTTTCCAAACCCGCGGTTCAACGTCACTCGTACTCTCTACTACTGGACACCGGTGCTCCGTCGCTCATCAACACCGCAGCAGTCGCATCACGAGGATCGTGAATCTGCCAGCGCCAGCTCACGTCGCCACTCCTGCCGTCCTGGAAGCAAACCGCTGTTTAGCGCCTCTAATTGCGCGTGGTGGATGCTCTACCAAATCAGGCAAGGCCTCGTTTTGACGCTCGTGGAGTGCAATGAAAAAGGTCGCCTGATTTCCCCGACTGATTACCAGGAGTCCGACATCATGTCTCGAGGACTGATCAGCCTTGTACTCACAGACGCTAGCTAGCCTGGCATAACCTTATGATGCACGTCAGGCGTACCTCTGCGGATGCGGTCAACCACTGCATATCCCAAAGTAACCAAGAGTCTTGGCCACCGATAAAAAGCCTTGTCAGTGAGCTTCATGGACTTTTTGCCTACAATGTAAGGTGACACTAAAGTTTCCCCACGTGGTGTAATATTAAAAAGGTTCGGTGCTACGCCCATGCTGTTTAGGTTCGCCCGTAACTCTTCCTGACATTTGTATCGTCACTTGAACGTTAAATCCAAGCTAGTGCTGACCGTAGAGCTGTCAACAAACATCACGGCCCCTTCGACAAACGAAATGGCCATTTTCACGCACCGGTGCCTGCATCTTTCATTGCTAGCTGTAGGGAGCACGTGGTAATACCAACGGAAGATCGACTCGGGATTTCGTGTCTATATAACCTTCGTATTCCGTCTCATTCTAAGTTTGCGCGCATGCCCGGTATCAATATTTTGCATTCTTGAAGATGTATCTTCCCATTCTTAGTGTGCTGTGCACCTTCTTTTTCACTACTTCTGCACAATCTAGCTCGACCTTCACTCCAGCTCGTCCACCCTCCCTACCACTGGCCGTCAAGAGCCCATATCTGAGCACGTGGTTCCCTGCCGGTAGTGATGGAGGAAATGGAGGCTATCTTCCAGGCCAGTGGCCATCATTCTGGACGTAAGATCCCTCTCGACGCTATGTGTTGGATACATATTGACACCAAGCAGTGGTCAGATTCTAGGATGGACTGGCTTGGTCAAAGTCGATGGCAATACCTTTGTCTGGATGGGGAAACCCGACGGCTACAACGATTTCGCTAATCAGACATCATACGAGTACACGTCTACCAAGAGCATCTTCACCATTACCGCAGGCGATACCGTTCAGCTCAAGGTTACATTCATGTCACCACTGACTCCAAATGACTTCAAGCGTCAATCTCTTATCTTCTCGTACATGAACGTCGAGGTCTCGTCTCTAGACGGCTCCCAACATGACGTGCAGATCTACACAGATATCAGTGCTGGTGAGCATCTCTCACTCCCTTTTAAACGTGCGCTTGAGTTGACATGCAGATAGAATGGACGTCTGGTGATGTCGCTGCTGTGGCTGAGTGGAGTTACGGTACTACATCAGATGGTATCGGCTATCACAAGATCTGGAAGCAAAACCAACAGTCTTTGAGTGAGGTCAACGACCGCGCAGAGTGGGGTAATTGGGTAAGTAAACCACCAAAGGGCATGGAATCATGATCTGACATTAGCAGTATTATTCTACAGAAGCAGTCGAAGGTCTTACGTACAAGTCCGGCGCAGACTCTGAAGTTCGCGATGCCTTTGACAATGATGGAAGCCTCAACAACGCGGAAGACTCCGAATTCCGACCAATTAACGCTGAGTGGCCCGTGTTTGGATACGCTCTAAACATGGGTTCCGTCGGGTCTGACGTGAAAAGCCAGCTGTATACTATCGGTCTATGTCAAGACGACGCTATACAGTTTCTGGGCGCCGACGGCCTCAAGAACGTGCCATCACTTTGGAAAAGCTACTTCCAGGACGATCTCGCCGCCCTTTCTTTCTTTTACAAAGACTACCAGGAGTCCAACAGACTCTCTACGGAGCTCGACGACAAGATCTCTAAGGATTCCAAAGCAGCTGCAGGAGATGATTACGCTATCCTGACTAGCTTAGCTGCTCGTCAGGCATTCGGTGCCACTCAGCTTGTCGGCACTCAGGACAAGCATTACCTCTTTCTCAAGGAGATCTCGTCCAACGGAAATATGCAGACTGTGGACGTCATCTACCCTGCTACCCCAATCTTCTACTATACCAACCCAGAATTGGTCAAGTTGTTGCTTGATCCGCACTTCGAGAACCAGGAAAGCGGACACTATCCAAACAAGTTCGCTATACATGATCTAGGAGCGCACTACCCCAACGCTACCGGCCACCCAGACGGTCTGGACGAACACATGCCGCTGGAAGAATGCGGAAACCACATGTTCATGATGCTCGCCTACGTCCAGCTATCCGGCAACACCGACTACATCACCCAACACTACCCCATCCTCAAGCAATGGACCGAGTATCTTGTAGAAGAAAGTCTCCTCCCAGCCGATCAACTCTCTACCGACGACTTCGCGGGCGCACTCGCCAACCAGACTAACCTCGCACTAAAAGGTATCATTGGCCTCGAAGCCATGTCCCAAATGGCGCGCATCATCGGCGAAACCGCAGACGCAGATAACTACACCGCCATCGCCCACGACTACATCACCCGCTGGATCGATCTAGGCATCAACAAGGCCGACAACCCGCCTCACTCTATCCTCAACTACGGAAACGAAACCACCCACGGTCTCCTATACAATCTCTACAACGATCGCCTCCTCGGGCTCAACCTCGTACCCCAGGAAATCTACGACATACAATCTGCTTTCTACCCGACCATCAAGGAACGCTACGGCGTACCTCTTGATACCCGTAATCGTTACTACACAAAGTCTGACTGGGAGGTCTTCTGTGCTGCGGTTGCGAGCAAGGAGACGAGAGATATGTTTATTGGGGATTTGGCGAAGTGGGTGAATGAGACGCCTAACTCGCATCCTTTTACCGATCTCTATCAGACGAATGATGGGACACAGCCTCCTGGTATTGATTTCAAAGCTAGGCCGGTTATGGGAGGGTTGTTTGCGCTGTTGTTGCTTGATAGTGAGGGGTTTAGTGCGAGGAAGAGGGTGTTGTGAGGTCTATGTAACATGTGGATGTGGCGATGGGAGACATACTGGCGAGGATTGTGTTCATTGTCGTACATGTAATGTTCACGGTAGTCAAGTAGGTCCGGCGTAGTCTTCTTGTCAACAAAGGCGTTCTTTATTAAGCAATACTACCCGCTTTCAATCAACGTTCTTCTCACTTCTTCCCTTTACCTTTTCCCTTCTTTCCCCCATTGCCGCCACCTTCGACTTCGCCTTCTCCTTCCAAGTCCGACAACGCCTTATCAGCGTCGACATTCGCGTCATACTCCACATCTTCCACCCACTGCTTCGCCACGAAAAAGTGCCATATCGCCGCTGCTGCAAGCCCCATCACAACTAGCGTAGAAAACAAGGTCTTGAATATCGACCATAACGTTATACTAGCGAAGTACCGGAGCCATGGCGTGACGATGGCTTTTCTTTCTTCCTACATAGTGTTAGCATCTAAATTCATCGGCTCCGATACACTAGAAGGAAGGACGAACCTCCAGATCTGGATTCACGCAGTATAGCAGCAAGACGAGCGCAACGAGAATGAATCCCAGGAGGATGACGGTAAGAACCTGGATGACGGCAAGCAAGATCGAGATATCGCGTGTTGTACGGAGGACTTTGAAGCCCGCCGCTACGAGGGGCGTGACTTGTTCGAATGCAGCGTTGATCTGGCGGGAGTACGGTATACCCATCTTGGGCGGTAGCGTTGCCGTCGGAAGTAGCTAGTTCGTGGCGCTGTAAGTATTCGCCCTGGGTATCGTCAAAAGAAAGAACATAGACTAGACATTAGCGATTAAATAGTGTATTGATTGAACCAGAAACCTGGAAAACGATATGCATGACATAGTGGGGTCGCTACATTGCGCATGCACATGCGCGACGGGAAGGTGCGATGAGTGGGTGGAGTGCAGATGGGCCACTGACGTCATTTTGACCATGACGAGGAGCAAGGGTGAAATGAGTGGTGTTGTGCTTTAGCGAAGAGAGATCTTGAGACAACATTTATCAATGTGACTATCTTCATGATTGTCCAACTGATACCGCATCAATTCCCTCGAGAAATTTGACAACCGTCTCGATGAAGTGCCGCATTGCTTCATCACCAGAGAGCTCATGGTCAGCATCGAACAGAATAATCTGACACTGCTTACTCGCCAGCCCATCTGGAATCGTGCCAATCCACCTCTTGAGCAGGGCTTCCTTGTCCACGGTCGGGGGGACCATCTCGTCTTTCTCTGATATCAGAATCAACGTCGGCTTGTCCAGTTTACCGAATGTGGACTGGAGGGTCGAAACTGGTAGATCGGAAGAGAAGAAGTCGTCGTCGCCTCCCACAGAGACTAGAGAGTGCCAGCGGTATGCTGTTACCGGAGATGTGATAATGGGTGGGATGAAGGAGCTAGACATGATAGTCTTTTCTTCTCCTTTCGCAATGAGGTCTTCGGCGTGCTTGAGACTAGCGGAGAGAAGATCCTGTGGCATGAGCAGTCCAGCTGTTTCACGATCTGAAGTTGGAGCTTGCATGATGTAGCCGTCAACCAGGGGAGGCGCTGGCAGGGTAGTTGCGTATGTCATGATGGCCTGACATCCTTCTTATTCGTCAGTAACTAGCGAAACCCGAAGAAGAGCATATGGCGTTGGTAGGATAGCATCGACTTACCAGTTGAACTTCCAATCAACACAACTTTTTCCTTCCCAATCTCTTTCAGATACTGCACCAACTCCTTCAAGTCTTCAGCATCCTCCTTCAAGCTTCCATATCCGAACCCTGTATAACTGCTCCGCATTCTCAGTTCCCAAATACTATAGCGCACGCCGTTTCCATCTTTCAAACTCGCACGTTCCAAGGCGTCATTCAAAGGTCCTAGGTAGGGGGTTGTATGCGGACCAGTGCCCAGCCCACCAATGAAGACCAAGGCGTTCTTGCACTTGGCAGAGTTGGAATGGCGGCGCTCGTATGCACATGTCTTTGGTTCGGTCGGAGGAATGGGGTGGACGTGGACTGAGAAGGGACGGAATCGTGGTGTATGGGTTGGCTCGGAAGTCGACATTGTGGAAAGACGGTTGGACTCTTTGTTGCTAGAGTAAGTCTGGCTGCTTCACGTCTCCTTGGATCTTCTGCATGCCATTGTCGCCAAGAGTGCATAGTCAGGAGTGGGTCATCTGCGTATAGCGACGTGCGTGATTGGTGTGCTTTTCGCGGAGGATTTGATGGGCGTACATCAACTTGGCTTGATGTGCTAGCATGTCACATCTCTGGTTTGCTTACGCTGATCAATGCATTACATGGTAGGTGGACCCCAGATTGACAGCACCTTGGGAGCACAGGTGCGTTCATTGGCATTCTTCGCGCCATATATCCATTGTATAGCATGATCCATAGTCTTGACGCGTACCTCCTGGGTACAATTGCAGTCTAGAAGTCTATTCGTGTAAATGCGATCTACCCATAGTCCAATTCTTGTGTTCTTCACAAGAAGGCGGCCGCAGCCGCCGCAGCCATGACGCCGAACTCAGCCCCCAGCCACTGTCCAGCAAGTGCAGTCGGCATCGCGGCTCCCTCGGAACCGGTTGTAGAGGTAGCCCTCGCCGCAATAACGTTCCTCACGATGCTGAACTGATCGCTGACCTGTTGTTCCTTGAACGACCTCGCCGCACTCGGCAGGGCTGTATACCAATCTGGCTTGGAGAAGTATGTGGGGGTCTCATCGGCCATGGTGACTTCAGCTGGAATGCTGTAATTCGAGGCGGTGCTGACAAAGGCGTCGATTTCGGAGCGCGCGGACGTGAGAGAGGACTGGTAGGGCTCGCCGAGGGATTCCGTGAAGCGACCGTACGCTATTTGCGCGTTGAGGAAGACGGAGGTGGTCCAGCTCTGGGCCTGCGTAGTTGTCAGTACAGCGGTAGACTCCCATGTTCGCGCTCAACGTACATCGGATGGATTGGCGAAGGTTGGAATGGCGGACGTGGGAATGGGCGGTTCTGTGTAGACCATGAAGTCGCCTCTTACCACTCCCGCCGCTGCAGTCAGTAGAAGAAGGCCTGTTTTCGAGAACATGATCCGATAGATGATGCAATGTCTACTGGTAGCGAAGGTGTGCGAAAAGCGAACGTGAGATAGGGACCGAAGTGTGTTGTTGCTAAGTTGGATGGTGTAGGACATCGACTGCGCATCTTCGGTGGCACACCCAAGAATTCAGACGCGGCCCCAAGACTTCTTTCCTCGTATCAAACCGCTACTGCTCCACATTTTGCTGATCGTGGTCGTAACGTCCTGGGCGCAAGAGGCCATTGGGCGAGTGTGGCTATGCAATGGATGACGGCGCGTGCACGCGGAAAGTCATGACGCGAGCTCCACGGAACGCGAAAGGACCCACTTTAGCTGACCAAGACGATGAAAGAACATCTTCACGTCTCTGGACAGCCAAACAGCTGACTGAGGCCATATACACCTATAAATATGATATTTAGCAATGCCTAAAACTGCTGGCAAGCTACGAGGTGGGCAAATAATTTCCTCGTTATTGAGTGCCTAGGTAGATGCCGGATGCATCGCCTGCCCTACGCCTCTGTCAACCATGGAAAGTTTCCCATTCCGTACATATCGACAGAGCGCAAGCCCGGCACTAGGTCAAGATTCTGTCTCATTTTCAACGATACCTGCACTCGCTGCCTGCATAGCCATCACGCGCAACACGGTAGCCTCTTCGATTGGAGCCCATACGCACAAGGCCTGACGTTCAACGAGGGGTTTCATCGCTTCCAACGGTCCCAGCTCATCAACAACTACCATAGTGATGACTGTTCACACCACTCAGTCTGGCGGACGCGATACGATTAAGACGCGATTGTGGTGGGGTACAACTCTTCCAGCAGTCCCGTGTCTGCAGTTCGTTGTAGTCCGTGTCTGTGGTGTGCGCAAGTCTCGTAATATGAGCGCTTCGTTCGTCGGTATGCATCATCAACTAGAAATCTATGATCAGCTGTTGCGACTTAGTGAGCATCTCGTTTTCCTGTCTGCAAATTGACGCGTACAAACAGTGCGCGCGCATACAACCTTGTCCTCGTCATTGGGGAAACCGAGCTGGAGAGGCAATGGATGGGAGTTGCGCAGTTGGTAAGCGCACCCAACCAATACAGTGTTTGGGCTAAGGACCTCCTCCTCAGCATCCGTCGTGGCTTGCAGCATTATTCTCGGCATTGCCTCTTGCCTCGTTGCTTCGACTTGAGAACAACTTGTCGTCCTGCAAAAGACTGAGTCCCCGGATGCTTTGGTGTCTGTCTTAGATAGCTGAGAAGGTCTATCGTGCGCGAATAACCTGTAATTCGTGGACGTGGCGTCTGACCCAAAAGCGTGGATTCGACGGGGTCCCCGAGACTGTAGTCCTTGTTCGCAGTTTTGTGACATATACAAAAAAGGTCAACAAATACAATACCCATTCGCCGGAAAGTGTGCGTAAGGTCAGAAGGCCGATCAATTGACACAGCGAAATATGGCCATGATATTACTTCTCGGTCCGATTACCGGCGTATAGGTGTCGACACAGCGTTTAGAAATGAAATGAACGCGGTCCTACTCGGAACAATGCAGCTCATATTTCCTTGTCAAGATCAATAGCGAGCTGACAGTCAGCATGAGGCATATCTGATTGAGATGCGTGCACCCAAGATATGGGGGTGTGTTGTGCTCAGCATCCCGGCGTATTCGCGCTCAACGCTCGGCGGGTATACAAACGGCGCACACACAACGAGACATGGCGTCAGCTGATACGCAGAACACGGTATGCTCTGAGCACTGCGATGTGTCGCAGGATGCGCATACTTGCTTGGCCGAAAAAGCAAAGCCGCAGGACATCTGCAGATGGCACATTTCATACACCGTTGTACGAAGGTCGTGTCGATATCGTCAGATATCATGCGTCGGGGCAGGATACGATGAAAGATCGGAGGCTGGCAGCCGTTTGGTATAGGCTATTCTTGTATTGTGCCCAGGATATGGGCAGTCTCTTCGCATGTCTATTTTCAAATCTATTAGAAGTAACAAATGAGTGAAAGACAGAGGACTGAACCGTCCATGGACGGCGATCACATACCACTAAACCAGAGAAACGGAGGACTGGGTCCGATCACTACGACATACGACGAACTATTACACCTCGAATCGGCACTGACCGTCCCAACTGGCTTTCTTGCGATGTTTTACCAAGTGGCTCGACTAGAGCAGCCACCGAGTCGTGATGAGAAGCCTTTTAGCCTAATACCCCAGTGGCAAGGCTCTGAGGATAATTGTGTCGTTTCGTGGCGCGGCGCTTGTGGTGTTCGACGGTGGCCAACGGAGGCCTTGGTTAGGACCTTCAACGATCTCGTGCTCGCGCAGCCGCCTCGAACGGTCATTCATTGATTTCTGCCCCTGTAGAGGAAAGAACGGCTGGAGATCCCGACAACTACGACGGTCCGAGCGTGGGATCTCGTTGAGTGGCTGCGCATGATCGGAGTCGGAGTACACTAAACCAGCATCGGTACACCACATAGTCATGATTACTGTAGACTATTCCCAGCTTTGGTGGCTCCTCTGGCTGGAAGCGAGGTTCAAAGGATTCGGTGTTGGTGGGCGTTGTGGATACTTGGGCTGACTCCGTGCACATTGTCTGGGGTGATCCGACAGAGTACCCTGCCCATCTCGTGATGCTAGTTAACCCACAGAACAAAGCGATGTGATTGCGCGACCTTTAGGCGCCCTCAATGTACACATACCCACCATGCTGGGTGATGCATCGGACATGGCTGCTTTTGATGCAGTCAGACTTGACTTTTCGATAAGACAGAATGCCAACGCAGGCAAAGATTGCTTAGGTGCGGGCGGGCACGGCATGCAAGAGTAGCCAAGTCTGCTGAAAGCCCGTTCGGGATCGCTAACAAGCATTGAAGAAGCAATTGCCGCATCAGCCGCGCATGCAAGCCCTTTCTTGTGGGTTCCAAAGGAAGGGCACAGCGGCCAGAGCATCCCGCGAAGGAGTCGAGGGCGTTCAGGCCCGTGGGAAGCTGCAGGCAACGCATTCAATAATTGCTGTGATTCAGCCGGTGCAGGCTGGGCAGCGGGATGCTTAGATCTCATCTACCTTATGGCGTCTTCGGCTGATCAAGAGTGTTGGAAGATTGGCATTCAAAGAAGAGCCAGCCACCCGTTGGCGGCTTGGCCCAGACATCGCCCAGGCGTAAGCGAGACCGCCCGTTTATACGGTGACCGAATCACGTTGACAGGACGCTAATCAGGGATTGTGCTGCTTGCAACATGTACTATCAAATAACACGATGGTAGGATGTGTTAAATGAGCCCGGTGAAGCAGTTGCAATGTATCGCGTGAGGTCTCCTCGGAGCGCGTTAGCTGTTGTTGATCTCTGGGGAAGGTGTCTGGGGAAACCTCTGGGGAACGGCTCGAGGCGCTGACGGTGCAAGAAGAAAAGCGGGATATCGCATTGCAGATGTGGAGTTTCCGCGGAGTGTGTTATTGAGCTGGATTGGCCATGAACGAAGGAGCGTTCTGCCGTTCGGCGCTAGCCCGTGCCTCCCATCCATCACGTGTTCGGGGCATCATCGAGTTAGCAGGCTGGGGAAATCCGGCTCCATCTTTCCGCCAACCACGCCTCATCACCTCGGCTCCGCGTGCTCTGCTGTCTTCCCCAGGCTGGCCCCAATCATTATGGGGAGACCCTGAAAATGCGCTTGTCAGACCCACGTTCTCGGTCGCTGGAGTCGTGAGCTTAGAGTAAGGGGTTAGTGGCTGGTTAATCTATTCAACCGTAGCATGCGACACTCTCGCAGCTGATCACGACCTTCGAGAAGGTTGGCGGAAGTGTCAAGCCTGTATGGCCGAGCCGGAACAAGGTCGCGGCTGGAGGCTTGTCCTTGCCCAGGTGAGCTTCACGAGGGCATACCGGGCTGGCGGGCCTTGTCGCACTGTAGGCATGCATCCATCAGGCCAGGTCCAACATTTCCATCACAAGACAAATGAGCCTCATTGCTTAGGCTTCTTGTTGTTCTTGACGGCTGACCGTCCCGCGCGCCGAGGCCGACTTGACACTGGTAACAAGATGATCCGTTCATGGGCAAGACGAAGCTTGGGGTCTGGGCAAGCTACCCTTGACCCCACCGTTTTGGGCAATTTGCCGCCCACTCTACCCCATACGGCGGTTCATCCGCGCAGAGTGCCACACATTTCTCCAGTCGAATTTAACCGGTCCGCTAGACCGTTGTTCTGGAGCCAAGGTCCTCTGCGAGGATAGTATCGTGCAGGCCGGGAGGCATATATATGAAGCACCAACATGTTCAATCTATCCAGGCTCAGCTGCAATCAGCCCAACCCGACAAGTCAACAGCTTATATACCCTGCTGCCCAGGACAGTGTAAGGTTGTGTGTTTCAAAACCAACCTTCACTCATTCCCTCGTTACTTCGATTCAACAAGCAGTCTACGGACTAAGAGTCGGACGCCATGGGTCTCTACCAGAAGTTCACGCCCAAGATGGGTGCCGTTGCGAAGAGCAGGTCCGACGTCGAAGCTGCTCAGGCTGAAGCTCCTCACCTCAAGAAAGTCAACTGGAGGTCCGACGCCGGTCTCCGCAAGCTCTACTTCTACGCCTTCTTCATCTGTATCGCTTCTGCGACCACAGGTTACGATGGGTAAGTCTTCCCATTACTGTTATCCAATTGACCAAAGCTAACCCACTCCAGTTCCATGTTGAACAACCTTCGTATTCTGCCTAAGTGGACGGAGTTCTTCGGCGACCCAAAGGGAGACACTCTCGGTCTCTTGACTGCTCTTTACTCCATCGGTTCGATTGCCTCGCTTCCCGTCGCTCCCTTCGTTGCCGATCGCTTTGGACGTCGCGCCTGCATTACCTTCGGATGTGTTATCATGATTATCGCAGCTTCCATCCAGGCCGCCGCTAAGAACCTCGACTACTTCATGGGTGGACGTTTCCTCATGGGTTTCGGAAACTCGCTTGCTCAACTCTCGTCTCCCCTACTCCTTACCGAACTCTGCCACCCTCAGCATCGTGCTCGTGTCACCGCCGTCTACAACTGCTTGTGGAACGTTGGTGCCATCATCTGCACATGGTTGACTTTCGGTACCAAGCGCATTGAGAGCGACTGGTGCTGGCGTGTACCCGCTCTTACCCAGGCTGCTCCTTCCGTCATTCAGTTGGCCGCTATCTGGTTCATCCCTGAGTCCCCACGTTGGTTGATCGCCAAGGAGAGGAACGAGGAGGCTCTTGCCATTCTTGCCAAGTACCACGCCAACGGCGATGCCAACAACGCTACCGTCCAATTCGAGTTTGCTGAGATCAAGGAGACTCTCCGCCTCGAGTTCCAGTACCAGAAGACCTCCTCCTACTTCGATTTCTTCAAGACCAAGGGCAACAGGTACAGGCTCATGCTCCTCGCATCTCTCGGTCTCTTCTCCCAATGGTCTGGCAACGGTCTTGTCTCCTACTACGCCACCGATGTCTACAAATCCATTGGTATCACAGACGCTGACACCCAGCTCGGTATCAACGGTGGTCTTACCATTCTCTCTCTCATCGTCTCCGTCTCCTGCGCTCTCCTCGTTGATCGCGTTGGTCGTCGCCCACTCTTCATCTCTGCCACCGCAGCCATGTGCGTCACCTTCATCGTCTGGACTATCGCTTCGTCTCAACAGGAGGCTACCAAGAGCAAGGCTGCTGGTCAGGCCGTCATTGCCATGATCTGGATCTTCTCCGTCGCTTACGCGCTGGCTTGGTCTGGTCTGCTTGTCGCCTACACTGTCGAGATTCTGCCCTTCAAGATTCGTGCCAAGGGTCTCATGATCATGAACTTGTTCATTCAGATTGCCCTGACCATCAACCAATACGTCAACCCTCTCGGATTCGACAACCTTCACCCTACCTGGAAGTTCTACACCATCTACGCCGTAAGTCTTGCAATTACAATCACTGTGATGAACTATTTACTAACTAAAACTAGTGCTGGATCTTCCTCGAGCTCATCTTCGTCACTGTCTTCTACGTCGAGACCCGTGGTCCCACTCTTGAGGAGGTCGCCAAGATCTTCGATGGTGATGAGGCTGAGGTTGCTCACATCGACATTGAGCACGTTGAGAAGAACGTCATGACTTCCGGCTACGAGAAGGATGACAACGTCCGCATTGAGCAGGTCCGATCATCCCAGTAGATGATTTGATCTCTTGTGTGTATATAATTGCTGCTTTGATTGATGTGGAATGATGGTGGTTGGATGATTTTGCTATATACCAAGTATGCATGTCCTTCGCTAGTACTAGTAATCGATATGCGTCCTCTTCTCATATTATATCCCGCTCTGTGATTTGTACATCATGCGTCAATAACGCCCTGCTCCATCTGACTAACCTCCCTTACTTGCCGCCTTGCCTCCTTTCTCTGTCTTCGTCTGTCCATCTTTGCCTTGATAGTTGCTTTGATCCCCGAGCAGCACATTACTGAAGAGAACAGTGCGCTTCCCATCCACAGCAGAGCATTAATGAGGTCGCACCACACAGCTCTCTTCATGCGCCCCACATCCACATTCTGGTACCCTTGCTCGATGTCCCCGCTTGAATAGATCGTATAGAAGAGGCCGAAAGAGGCAATCCATAAGACCGCCAAGATCCATTCCGGGATCCAAGTGACACGGTAGTTGCGTACTGTCACACTGTCGATAACTAGAACCAACAGGGTAAGCCCAAAGACGACTTGCGCAAATATGAAGTCGGTCTTCGAAGTGCTTGTCGCATGGCTCAATTCGATGGCGTAGGATATGCCCGATGCGAGTGCGAAAGCGAGTTGGAAGATACGGATGCTGAGACGGAAGAGGGATACGACGGGCTTGTCGAGTTTGGCATTCACCGCGGACTTGAATGAGGACGGGGAGATGAATTGCGACTTGAAGTAGGGCGGTGGTGGTACGGATGGTATCGAGTGGGTCGATGAGGCCGATGATGATGGTGCGGTCGGCTTGTAGTAGACGGGCTCGGACTGCTTCGGTTGACCCATTGTAGTTGTCTCGCTCGATTGGGATTTGGGTGCTTCGGAGTAGAAGTCGTGAAGTGAAACGTGAAGACGGCTTAACTTGGAGCAAAGCAGCGGGTCATCCTGAGGTTATATGTGCACTCAGACTGCTGACGCGACTAGTTTGGGTAAAACTCGGCGCAATGCACAAGAAAGAGCTTTTCATGGCACTTTCCTTCTATTTTAGCTGTATTAAGTGGAGCGCGACAAGTGTGCCAGACATTCGTTCCTGGAAACAGCGTATTCTAAGAGAACACGAGCAAATACGAGCCTCGGACTGGCGCATTAGCGTCAACATCGGAGAGAAGAACCCGCGTCGGATCAGCAACGATCAATGTGACGCCGCTGCACTCATCGTGGCGGCTTAGCTACTAAAAAGTTTCTGATTAGGTGACGCGTTGGGAAGGGGTCAGTCAGGTCAGTTTTCGGAGTTTTCCAGTGCTGGAGATGCTTGCGGCGTTGCGCAGCCCTCGCGGAAGGTGTTCACGCTAGCAGCAATGACATCCATGGATGCCACTAGCGGTTGCCGTCTCTTTTAATACGCGCTCCTCGCTCAGAATACGCATTCTGGCGTCTCAACATCTTCATCAGCAACACCAATATGCAGCAAGATTCGCCACTCACGGAAGCTACGTCAACTTCAAGAGGAGGGTCTCTTCTGAATTCACGGGAAACCTCTCCATACGAGCAAAATGGGAAAGCTACGGCAAGAACATCAAAGATAACGAGGAAGTCTCATCGTAAGTCGCGGGCTGGATGTGTTCATTGCAAGACGCGTCGCATCAAGGTACGTACCTAGATAGTATTTGAGTATCTCGAAGACATTTGCGATGCCTCTTAAACAAGGCTCTGGGCTTAATTTCTTGTATACAGCATGCCGAGCTCTCCTGAAGGACAAAGTTTACGCTCAACGTGCTAATGCAATACCTAGTGCGATGAAGCTAAACCATTCTGTACCAATTGCAAACGGCGGCAGGTCCGCTGCGAGTACCCAGCAACGTCTATTATCGTTCCGGAAGTTACTGGCCTACGACAACCCGGCGGCCTTCCACTTTCTGAGATTGAACTCACGTATCACTGGACAACGACTACATGCCACTCGCTATCAGCATGGCCTGCCGGTGCTGCACGTGTACAATCGTCCACAGAAGAAATCGCATTCAAAAACGAGCATGTGCTACACCTCGTCTTCGCATTCACGGCTCTCCATCTCGCTACATGCCGACCAGACCGCAAGGACTCCTACATCGCTACTTCAAACCATCACTACGAATGCGCCCTAGCACTCGTCACTCCAGAAATAGCCAAACTCAACCCCTCCAACTGCGACGCGGTTCTTCAATCTGTCCAATTGATCTGCTTTGTCAGTTGGGCGAGAGGACCACAGGCTGGTGAATACCTTGCTTTCGGTAAGCACGGTAGATCGGAGTGGCTGGTCATGTTCCGTGGAATCCGCACGACGCTCAGTGCCTTTGAGATCGACAACTTCGCGAAGACACATGCGCCAGCAGTGCGTAACAAAAGTCGGCTTTTACCAGTAACAGACGGGCCATTCGAGTTCGAAAGGCATCTTCAGGAGTTAGAAGAGCACATCGGCATCGCGTCTGAGCCTTCTGATCGCGACGACAATGTGCTCAGCGTGAACGTCCTCCAGGAGATGTATTCAAACCGCTACGGTGGTAAGGACGGTGAATACCACGTGGCGTTTGGATGGCTCTACCGAATGAGCGATGACTTCCTCGATCGCCTACAACAATGCGATCCGCTGCCACTCATCGTCTACGCGCACTTTGTCGTTCTGATGCACGACATGGAAAGATTTTGGTATATGAGAGGCTGGACACATCATGTTATGAGTGGAATCTTCGAAGCTCTGCCCACGGAGCATAAGCCGTGGATACGCTGGCCGATGACCTGTGTCGGGTGGATAGCACCTTAATGCATCTACTATCTGTTTGTGGTAGGCTCAATTGACTTCTAAGAAGCATCACGTGTACGTTCAATCGATGTGTATGTTTTGGATTGTTTTTCTGAAATTTGGGGCTGCTTTCCACCACCAAGCATCGTGTTCATCTCTGAAGCGTCACATCGTGTTCAGACCCAAGACAGTCATACCAAGGCAGTCATGACACCCGCGGTTGAGCATGCTTGTTTCCCCTAGTGCGGCCGTGATGAAGGTTCAATCACCCAATTCCTACTCATCGCAATCGGCCAGCGCGTGTTGTTGCCCTAAGATCAAGCGAAGCGACCGTGAGCCTCCGTTCGGTCTGACCTACGGTCATCCGCACGAGAGTCGCGTCCGCCAGCGCCGGAAGGACGATAGGGAAGACTTGTATGCATAGCGACACGAGTATCTTCATACCGACCCATACCGCCCAAGTGGTACGACCTATGAACGGGATCTAAAGATGAGTGTAGAAAGTCAGTATTTGTCTCACGTGGATTCGTACAGGAGTATTACTGACAAGGTACATAATCGCCAGTCGGAAGATCGTAGGTGATCGCTAGCTGGGGTTGCCAGAGAAAGGCTACTGCCTCTGAAAGGGTGAACATGACCGGCGCATAGGAGCGTTGGGCGTTTATGACGTCAATGGCCGCCTCCTTCCTCTGCCTCTTCCTCTCCTGTTTCTTTTGTTGGCGCTGGGCAAGGACATCTGCAGATAGTGGGGGCCTTACAGGAAGGGCCCATCGTTCTTCGCCTTCTCTGGTTTCAGTACCCTGTCCGCCGCTGGATTGACCTAGAGAGCGCTCGCCAAGTTTTCCGGTCATCTTGTTCTGTAGAGCGTACTTTGAGTGGCGCTGCTCTTCGGCCTGATCCTGGAGTGCTTTTGACCTGGACGAATATGCGGGGAACACATCGTCGAGCTCGTCGCTCAGCGTCAAGTCTATGACTTTGGATGTCTGACTGGGGAAGGACTTGGCTCGGGAGCTTTCGATGGGTGCCTTGGCCTTTGGCTGCGTTCGCATATATCGCACATCGTCTGCCGCAGTAGTGTCATCGGCCTCCTCTTTTGCTTGCGCTGCCATGGCGCTCGGTCCCCTCTGTCGCTTGGTATGACGCTGCGGCTGAGACTGCGACAATTCGGGATCCGCTCGCGCACGTTTTTTGGTTCTCGTCATGGTGAAGTGAGATGCGGCACTGCTGTGGGTCGGAAACTAGAGTGTGTAGTATGGAATAAGCCCGCGCATGCAGACTGTTCAGACAAAGAGGTCGCAGTCGCAGTGGGTTGCGCTGGTTCTGCAAGTTGTAGGTCGCCCACATGAGGTGAGTCCCAAAATTGCCGCTTGGACCACCAACAAACGCTCGTAGAAGGCGCAACCACGTGGTAGCAGCTATTGTACGGCTATTGTGTGATCAAACCCGACCTTGTCTACCAGTCTTGGCATTGAAGTCCTGGAGTGCTTGCTTGAAACCAGGCCAGGCGTCTCTGACGAGGGGATTGCCCTCTAGCGTTCGTAGGTAGTTTTCAGGTACGTCATGGAGTCGCTTTCCGAGGTGAATGCCTTTGTGGAATCTCCATGTGTCTGATGCCGAAAGAGCGTTCGATCGAGACCCTTGTGCGTTCCGTGTGGGAGGCTGTCGTGGCTGCGATAGCTGAGCTTGTGTCTGTTGGGTTTGAGGGTTGTCTGGCTGAAGACGTGCCTGCCCCGGCCTGTGGTACTCGAATGCCTCCAAAAGGCCCGCATGTCTTCTGTCCCTGTATTTGTATAACTGACCGCCGATCATTTTGATGTAGTTTTCGTTCACATCGGTGAATCGCTTGCCCTTGTGCATACCGAACGTGAAGACGTAGTCGCGTGCCGGATTGTACTCCGGTGTTGTCGGTCCATCTGTGGACTCTTCGCTTGTGTCGCTGCTGATGCTGATGACGCTCGATCGGCGAGATGCTGTGGATGGTGCGAGGGAGATGTATGCGGCCGAATCGGCAGAGGTGTCCTCCTGGTAGAGACCGTAGCGCACTCGCGTGGTTGAGGTACTGAGTGGGTAATCGCGCAGATAGAGCTGCCTGTATACTGCGACCGCGGCTGCCTCCGTAAACATTATATCCGCTAGTGGTTGTCTTCCCCGACCGGTCGTGGGCAGTGGCGCCTGCACGTTGATCTCGATATCCTCGGCCTCATACATGTCGTCGTCGAGCAAGTCGTCGCCGAATTGGTCTGAGTCGGAACTGTCGCCGTCCATGTCGAGATCAAAGTCGTCGTTGCGTGAGGACCTGTAGAGGGCTTCGAAGTTGTTGCCACCAGAGGAGAGAGGTATGAAGTCTTGGCCCGATTCGTTCCTGCCATTCTTCTGCGCAAAACGTCCGCCACGTCCGCCTCCTCGCCCACCCCGTCCGGCGCCACCACGGCCTCCTCCTCCACCTCCTCCGCGGCCTCCACCACGCCCGCCACGTGCTCCGCCGCGCTCGCTGCGTCGAGCGTTGTGTATCGCCTTTTGCCGTGCTTTGTGTCGTATAGGGGGCGGTCCGGTTGGCTTGGACCCTCTTGATTTCCGATTCGCAGCCGCACTGGCGCGCCGTTGCTGGCAGGGGCGCGACATTGCGACGGCGAAGGTTGGCTGTGAGTTGGTTGAGAAGGATGACGGATTCCAACTTGTGTGCTCAACGTCAGACTTCGAGACGCTCGGCCCCACGACTACCGATTCGGCATCCCGAAATTGCCCTTTCTCCCCCTGCGCACGTCCAACACCATGGACCCTGACTTTGTTGCGCACTTGGGCGCATATTTACTGGCCTCAAAGACTTTGTGCTTGGTAGAAAAAGACATTTGAATATGGGACGGACGCTGCACTCAACACTCGCTAATACCTAAATCCTTGCTCAACACTGCGAAAAGAGGCCATGCGAACCCAAATCTCCTTGCTTTATCTCGAAAGCCGTATTGCATAGATCTCACCAGCGGCATTCAATGGCTGCCGCCTGGATGATCACAAAAGCTTCGAATTGGCAAACGTAATGATATTGATTCTTTTGAAGCGGCGCAGCGACTCGTTTGCATCAGCCGTAGGTATCTTTGCCAGCCTTCTTTCGCTAATCTCCAGGGCGCTCACCAGGGCGCTCACCAGGGCTTTCAGCACGCGGAAGCCAAGCCGATACATCCACGCGCGCACAATGTTGGCTTTACTGAGCTCCGAGGTGATGTAGCCGTGGATACGCAGATGCTTTCTTGCGCAGTGGCATTGGACCGAGAAGGCAACCACGTTGCAGTCTCTTGAAGAACGAGAGATCTTCGTTGTGGATTGGGAACATCAGAGACTTGAAACAGCAAAGTCAAGAGCTCAAGCCAGCATACAATGACGTATCTTCGTCTTTCTCTGTTATCATCTCGAAGATGCGCATGCCTCGAGGATGGTAAGGCCATCTCTACGATGATCATGACTTCATTGCGCCGCTCCCAATTTCCTGGGCCCCTCGACCCTCGAGCACCACCGCCCATCTCACGCAACGTTGTCCAGCGCAATAACCCGCGCCGCCCTCATGAATACACATTCTTTGCAGACCCCCACATTCCTTGCGGCTCTACGATGCACCTCATTGCACAGGGTGGATGCTTGCCGCTGACGTTGCCGCCAGAGCACTCTATTTGAGCACCGTGCCGCAACCCCGCACATCAGCCTTGCACAACCGCCGCATGGCCCGAGTACTCAAGCGGGATCGCCACACCAATATAGTAGCGATGAACAGATAGACAGGGTGAAGGGCGGGTAGTCCGGCGTAGGTACTCTGAAACGAAATCTCTCTATGCTTTAATAAGGTACAAGAGTACCTGCTTGTCAGCGCGTCCTGTACCTGCATTCACTCTCCCTTGCATCTTTCAGCTGGTCTTGGATCCGGTTATCCGCTCGTCTTTGCCTTACTTGACTGACTGCGTCATCAAATCTACTTCCTCTTCTCATCGAAAAAATACCCAACACTACCAAAAGCATTCGCAAGCAGGTCTTCAAGATGCACACCAACACCTTCGCCATCCTCTCTTCGGTTCTCTTCCTCACGCCTTCACTATGCGCAGCGCGCGTCCTCCCTCCTCAGCCCCCGCGCATTCTCCCTCGCGGTGACGCACAGTCATTGCTGTCATCGTCCGCTACATCTCTGGTCGACAAATGCACCTTCACCCTCTTCCACAAGCAACTCATGACCGCTGCCCGACCAGCTTCGACAAGCGATGGCAAGATCAACTACGTCCAAGTCGACAGCTTGGAAGACCACATGAACGGAATCACTATCGATCTCGCTTCTTCGAGACCCCGGACGGAGCGCAACTCGTATGTGAAAGTCTCCGCGACGCAGATCTTCGAGATCGATGGACTGGTGGATGACACCAAGTTGACTATCTACGGCTCCGATGGAGAAGATGCGCTGGTCTTTGAGTACGATGGGCTGAAATGGGCGACCGAGGGCGGGAGCAAGAAGTTGCACCCCGAAGCGTGGTGTAACACCGGTTCCTGGGCGGAGAGTGGGAATGGAAGCAGGGTATGTCATTCCTCTGGGTTTATACGAGAATCTTATTGCTAATACTCATCTGCAGCAACGATCAATGGAGTGCGCTTTCCCTTGCGCCAAGATCGAGGACGACGAAGAGGATGAGAGGGAAGAGCTGCGGTAGATCACTTTGATCCAACGTATGGCTCTAGGTCGGCATTCGATAAGCTGCTTATCTGATCAGAGCAAGAGTCTCTGGAATTTCTTTTGTGATCACTTCGATTCTCCAACACTTGATACCCATCCAAAAAGAATGATAGTCACATCCAACGTGAAAGCTGTAAAGACCATTGAAACTGAATTCGTTCCATTTTCAAACTACAATAGTCTAAAATGATCGGTCTGATTGAGGGATGCTAGCGTAACAAACTCCTGAAAAGCGGAAGATGTCTGCACTATAACTGAAAGCCAAGTCCTTACTATCATCCTCTTCACTACCTATTCCCAAACGTCCAAGCATCTCTAGTCACACCAAACCACTCCATCTCCTCATCTGCCTTCTTTCCACACTGACAAAATCCCCCTTCCCTGCTTTCTTCCTCCTCAACCGGCATCATCATCCTCTTCTCCAACCACCTCGCCAACCCCTCATCATCACACCCCGTCACCTTCGCAACACCCACACCCCTAACTCCAGTAAACAGCTTCAAGACCGAATTGTCCGCCCCATCAAACATACTCTGCCAAACCTTTACCTGGAGAAACTCCGCACCAGAGAATGCAGCCGTAGCTTGACTGCTGGTAAACCGGGGATCGGTGTCCAGACGTAGCTCAAGCTGCCAGCGTGTGATTTTCGCGATGATCGTTGGAGACAAGATTGGCTTCTCGGGCAAGACCAGATGTGGTAGGGCGGTTAGGAGAGAGCGGTGGGCGTGGAAGACGTGTGTTGTGTATAAGAGATCCTGGGCTTCTTCGTTGATCTTGCGACATGTGCGGAGGATGGCTGGGTAGACCATTGGAGATCTAGATGGCGTGGAGTATGTAGCGAGATCTTTGTGGTGCGGTGTGTTCGCACAGAGGAGCTCTTCGTAGATTTGGTTTCGAAGTTCTGCCGGTAGACGGAAGAGGATTGAGGTTTGCTGTGGGTTGGTTGCGCCCCTTTCCATTGTGGTTATTTCTGGTGCCATTGAGGCAAAATACTGCGCTTGTACTGATTCGTGCGTGACTGGGACGGACGAGAATAGCGAGGTGGTATTCGGCGTGCTTGCAGGGAAAGGCCATGCATCATCGGTCGCATGCGTTCTGGGCATGTTGAAATGTGCTGCGAAGTAGTATGCTGTTGCCATTGTCGATGATTTTGCCCCTTTGTTTGTCTAGCCTGGCAATGAATTGGAGATGGTCGATCGATAGCAGTGATGAACCGTCGTCGTTGATGTATTTCGAGGTTGACCACTCGCAATTTGCAGCCCTGGTGGGTCAAATCGTTTGGTTACCAGTCGATATATATTCCTTCAAGATTCTATGACGGTATGATGTTCGTTGCTGGTATCTTGGTTTGTCTTTGTTCCGATCGGGTGATGCTGACTCGGGGAGTTGTCGCTGACGGAGGTCCGACAGTCGATGATGATAAGCTTAGAACTATGTTATACAACACTGTCGGTTTGATCCGAATCTTATACAAAGCAGTTCGTACGTGATATTGATCTCAGTCACCTTATCGTCAGTATCGTCGTCTGCTCGCGGTCACGTTAACATTCCAAGCCTCGGTCCGAAAAGGGCAAGATCGTCTGCGAGTAGCGTGAAAGTCGCGCCACATACATCGGGTATCACCCCACCGCCATTTGTTGACCTGAGATCATTATAATTGTCTCTATGGCTGTTACACACATCGCACGATGGATTTCCTAACGCAATTGCCCAATGCCTCCATATATACAGAGTACGGGTATCGCACAGGCAGAGCGCAAAGTTGAGTCGGCGCTTCGGTCTTGCCCAGGTGGGAACAACGCGTTGGCATGCTAACCCCGCCCGCGGGGGATTACCGCCGCAGCAGGCGTCACGTGGAGGCACTAACCGCCGCCGTGATTACTAAAAGTGTCGTATCCTCATCACCCATCACTCCTTTACTCCAAAACTGGCATCGACCAACACAGTGAAAACAATGAAAAGTTAGCATGTTGAGCTCAGGCACCTATCTCTACACGCGGTTGGCATTGCAATTGTTGAGAACGGTGTTACATTGACGATACAGACATATTATTCTAGTAGAGCCGGCCTTCTCCCTAAACGACTCGGACGATCCACAAGGACCATACGCTCCACTCTCAGTCCATCACGCTCAGGCCGCCGTCTCCCATTATGATCCACACATCTCCACCATGCCTCCAACAGCATTGTTATTTGGCGCCAAGTACGGTTGTTCCGCCAGAGACGCCTTACTGGCATGGCTCGCGGAACTGAACGGTGAAGCCGCCAACGCTGGACCATTTGCCGCCAGCGTTGCAGGCTGCGCCATCCTTGTTACGCTTCTTATCCACGCAGACAACCTGGCAGTCTTCCGCAGCACCAAAGTTGTTCTGTAAAGGAGCGAGGCCGCAATTAGCTCACTTTTCATATCCAAGAACTTTGAGAGACTTACGACACTGGCGCAGCAGTGCGAGCCATCCTGAAAGAGACATTGGCAGATGTGGGAAGCTTGAGCTCCGAACACGATCGTGAAGAAGACCGCGGCGACGGAGAGAAGGCGGACCATGATGACGAATTGAGAAGAGAGGGTAAGTTGAAGTAGAGTTGGGTGTTGAAGTAGTGAGGGAAGTATTGCTGGTCGCTGTGATATCCTCACTGCAGAGGCGAAATCACCTGCCTTTTTAACATGTTCTCCTGTATCTATCACATTATCCTGAAGGCGAAGCATTTCGTTAGTATCGTGATAGCAACATGGGTAAAGCGGATTGATTAGTCTGTTTTCGGACCTTCTCGTGTATCTCTTTCGGACCTTTTACTACCTGCTCAACCAGGTACCAATCTCGGCTTCCTTCCCCAACTGTTCTTTACACACCGCAAATTGTAACTAATCGAGAGGATCTAAAGCCTCATCGGTACACCTCTCGACGATACTTCGGTGGCCATTAACAGTGGCCCAAGCACTGGACCTCTTAGCTTAGCGGAGCTTGTCTTTCTAAGCCAAGATAGGACTTGGTCTTCAACACGTGGTTAAGATATACGAGGTGTACTTGCGCTTCATAGGTAAGTACCGTGTTCATCGCATAGCTT